TTTCCACATTTAAAATTTCCACATTTAAAAAGGGGGAAGATTTAGGCCAGGCCAGCTTGATAAAATAGAAAAGTCTTAAGCGCGCTTAAGAAAGCAAAGAATACTTTGCAGCTGGACAAAACAAGACTGTCAAGCAATTGGCTTTCACCTATTTCTGATTCCCATAAATGAAATTTTGCTTTCACTCTGCATTAAACAGGAAATTAAAATGGATATTCTCAGATTGTTCTCACTGAAATAAATTCCACATTTAATTTGAAGCCAGCCTATCTACCCATCTAACTACCCATCTATCTATCCATCCATCCATTCATCCATCCATCCATCCATTCATCCATCCATCCCTATTTAAAATATTTATTTTATTCAGGTAACACATAACCAACTGGATGTATTATTTGGTCTTGGTATCCTTCCTTTTGCTATCTCTTTTTTCCTGAATAAACATTTTTATACCTGGATAAATGAATAATCATAAAAATTGCCATGTTACAGAAAATTGCATAGTTACCCCCTTTTTGGGGGTGAGGTGTTAAAAAAGTTGTTTTTTAAAAAAATTAAAAATTAAAAAGCTGTGAATTTCATTTTGGCACACATAAATAAGCTAAAGCAGAGGGTTCCTGGCAGAAGAGCTTCACCCAACAATAGCAAGCTTTCATTTCTTTCCTCTTATCCACCACAAGACACCCTTGGAGAGAAAGATCTGCCAGTGGGGAAATAATAATAATAATAATAATAATAATAATAATAATAATAATAATAATAATTTTATTTATATACCGCCCATTCTCTCGAAGGACTTAGGGCAGTGTACAGCCAAAATTAAAATACAAATATACAATATCTAGTTAAAATCATTAAATAGTTTTGGCCGAATTTTAAAACCCAAAATTAAAACCCAATTTAAAATCAATCAATTTGATAGCCCCGCCTGTCGGAACAGTAGGGTCTTGAGGGCGCAGCGAAAAACCCGGAGGTCAGAAATGTTACGAATATCCGGGGGCAATTCATTCCAGAGGGCAGGAGCTCCCACAGAGAAGGCTCTCCTCCTGGGTGTCGCCAGCTGACATAACTTGGCTGACGGCACCCTGAGGAGTCCTTCTCTGTGGGAGCGAACTGGTCGGTGGGAGGCTGTTTGTGGCAGAAGGCGGTCCCATAGATATCCTGGTCCTATGCCATGGACCGCTTTAAAGGTGGTGACCAACACCTTGAATTGCACTCGGAAGACCACTGGGAGCCAGTGCAGCTCGCGCAGGAGAGGTGTTACATGGGCATAACAAGATGCGCCCATAACCACCCGCGCGGCCCATTCTGGACCAGTTGGAGCCTCCGAGTGCTCTTCAAGGGGAGCCCCATGTAGAGAGCGTTACAATAGTCCAGACGGGAGGTGACAAGGGCATGAGTGACTGTGCGCAAGGCGTCCCGGTCCAGAAAGGGACGCAACTGGCGGATCAGGCGAACCTGATAAAAAGCCCCCCTGGCTACGGCTGTCATATGCTCTTCTAAAGACAGCCGTGAGTCCAGGACGACACCCAGATTGCGAGCCCTCTCTGTGGGGGGCAGAGATTCACCAATAGTCAGCGATGGCACCAGCTGACTATACCGGGACGCCGGGAGCCACAGCCACTCAGTCTTGGAAGGGTTGAGCTTGAGCTTATTTTTCCCCATCCAGACCCGCACGGCCTCCAGGCAGCGGGACATCACATCAAGGGCATCATTGGGGTGGTTTGGGGTGGAGATGTACAGCTGGGTGTCATCAGCGTACTGGTGGACTCTCACCCCAAAACCACGGATGATCTCACCCAGCGGCTTCACATAAATGTTGAACAGAAGGGGCGAGAGGACCGACCCCCGTGGCACTCCCCACGCGAGGCGCCTCGAGGTCAACCTCTGCCCCCCTGCCAACACAAACTGCGAGCAGTCAGAGAGGTAGGAGGAGAACCATCGTAACATGGTGCCTCCAATTCCTAACCCCCTCAACCGCTGCAGCAGGATACCATGGTCGATGGTATCAAAAGCCGCTGAGAGATCTAATAGGACCAGGACAGAGCAGCAACCCCTGTCCCGAGCCCTCCAGAGATCATCCACCAATGCGACCAATGCCGATTCTGTGCTGTACCCCCGCCTGAAGCCCGACTGGTACGGGTCCAGATAGACCGCTTCCTCCAGGTACTGGGGTAGCTGTCGTGCCACCACACTCTCAACAACCTTCACCACAAAACAAAGGTTGGAGACCGGATGGTAATTTGCTAATAGAGCTGGGTCCAGGGATGGCTTCTTGAGGAGGGGCCTCACCACTGCCTCTTTCAAGATGGCAGGAAAGGCACCCTCACTCAAAGAAGCATTTATAATCCCCTGGAGCCAGCCTCGTGTAACCTCCCGGGAGGCCAGTACCAACCAGGAGGGACACGGGTCCAATAAACATGTGGCAGCACTAAGCCTCCCCAGAATCCTGTCCACATCCTCGGGAGCCACAGGGTCAAACTCTTCCCAGATAGAATTCTCCAAACTAACCTCCGCCTCCCTCCCCAGACTCACCCAGTCGGAGTCCAAGCCTTCCCGAATCTAAGCAACTTTATCATGCAGGAATTGCACAAAATTCTCAGCTCGACCCTGCAAGGGATCTTCCTGCACTTCCACCCGAAGGAGGGAGTGGGTCACCCTAAACAGAGCAGCTGGGTGGTTCTCTGCAGATGCAATAAGAGCGGAAAAATAGTTAGATTTTGCGGCTTTTATCGCAACTAGGTAGGTCTTGATATAAGATCTCACCTGTGTCCAGTCAGATTCGGATTGACTAGTCCTCCAAACACTCTCTAGGTGTCTTTTCCGACACTTCATCTCTCTCAGCTCCTTGGAGAACCAAGGAGCCAATTGAGATCGGCATTGGGTCAGAGGCCACAAAGGCACGACCCGGTCCAAAGCCCCTGCGGCCGCACTACCCCAGGCAGCCACCAGGTCTTCAGTCGAGTCGTGTGCCAGAGTCTCCAGAAATGGCCCAAGCTCCATCTGGAACCTTCCGGGATCCATCACGTGTCTGGGACAGAACCATCTAGTTGGTTCCGTCTCCCTGTGGCGGGGGAAAGCGGCTTGAAAGTCTAAGTGAAGGAGCGAATGATCTGTTCATGACAAGGGTTTAATGTCTAGGTCCCCTCTACCAAGATCATTCAGCCACTGGCCAGAGATGAAAATCAAGTCCAGAGTGTGTCCTCCTGTGTGAGTGGGGCCTTGCACTAACTGGGTCAGGTCCATGGCCGTCATGGAAGCCATGAACTCCCGAGCCACCTCTGACGTCTCACCGACGGATGGCAGGTTGAAATCCCCCATAACAATAAGTCTGGGGGTATCAACCGCCACCCCAGCAATCACATCGAGTAGCTCAGGCAGGGTTGCCGCCACGTGGCAGGGAGCCAGGTACGTCAGCAAACCCATCTGCACCCCACGACCCCACTTCACAAAAAGGGACTCACATCTGGCTATCTGAGGAAAAGTGGCCTCCCTCAGACAAAGACTTTCTCTAATAATTGCCGCTACTCCCCCACCCCTCCCCTGAGCCCTCGGCTGATGAAATGCACGGAAACCTGGAGGGCACATTTCAACGAGGGGGACACCCCCCTCCTGGCCCAACCAGGTCTCCGTAATCCCAGCCAGATCTACACCCCCCTCCACAATAAGATTCCAAATGAGGGGGGCTTTATTAATTACCGACCTGGCATTACATAACATCAGTCGAGGACCCGGGGCCTGAGACTCTGTGCAATCCAGGACACGGGCCACGCTATGGGGGCTGGAGTGTGCAATCGCTCGGAGACAGCGTGTGCCCACCCCCAAAACCTGATATGTCCCCCTGCGCCCATCATACCTGCCCCTCCCACTTATCACTTTGATGGAATTGCCCTTCGTTTCGCTCCCTGGAGCCCCGGTCAGATTACCCTTCTCCTCTCCTCCGCTACACCCATCTAACCCACCACCCCGCACAGTGGCTATATGGACCCCCCCCAGTCCATCTCTACAGTCCCCTCCCCCCCTCCCGGGTCCCCTTAAAAATATCCCTGCTACCCTTTTTAAAAAACCCCTCAACCCCCTCTTTTTCACATGCCACCTCTCTGGGTCCCAACACCTGTCATTGAGGTAGGCCCTCGATAATGTGGAGGGCCACATCTGCGAGAGGGGGGCATCTCGCACTGCAATTAGCTCAGCCGTCAAATACATCAACCAAAAAGACCAAATGGAACTGGTATCCGGGTAGAGGTCCAATAAAGTTCTGTAATAAGAGATGGTAAAATGATGGTAGAAGCCATGTGGAATAACAGCTGGCCTCCACTGTTCTCTCACCACAGTGGGAGGAGTCCCAGGCCTTTGAGCACCTTTGCAGAATCAATGTCCCAATCACCCTCCCACAGCGATGGTCAGATGGTCATAACTTTGGAGGATTTGATTGGTCCGCCTCCAATCTTTCAGCAGTAACCGGTGCCCAAAAGCCGTCTCCCTCAGCACCCACATGACGGTCCAGACCACCTCGGTACATGGGCTCAAGAGTAGAATAAACAGAATAGAATAAAGAATTTATAGAGATAAATTGGTGATAATCCACGGGCGGGGGATGTTCCACAAAAAATGACATTTTTTGGTGATTTGTAAAAAAATCAAGACTAAAAGCCAGGTAGTATTATAATGAAACCTACTTAATTCCAAATCATAATTGTTCCAATGCTTTATATATTTTTCTTTCAAACAAATCTAAATCAACTAGAGAAACAAAAATGCAGGTATTAGCACAATCCTCAGGGTAATGTTTAAAAGGATAAGTGGTGAAGAAAGAAGCTTGACCTTTGGACAATAATTTACTTCACGAATGCAGATAAAATTTGGGGAGGAACTCATGTTGCTCTTCGTATTTCTACTTTCTTAGACTTTCAATGAGAAACAATTTGAAATATTTTTAAAAGCCCAACTATATCAATAGGTAGATAATCTCACCAAAGAAAATTCAGATAACAAGATTGGCTTTTGTTTGTGAAAGTCATGCCAATTCTTCAGCATGCCAGCTGGTTTTGTGCTTCATAGATATTTATTTATTAAATTAATATGCCTCCCATTTCACTCTTAAACAACTCTGGTGACCTACAATATCAGAAAACAATAATATAAAACAATTTAAACATTTAAACATTAAAAGGCCATAAACATCAAAAGTTAACAAAAAACTATGTAACAAAGGAACCAATACATAAATCGGATGAAGGTGGGATCTTCTTGGTCTACAAAACACATCAGGAATGGATGCCTGTTTTTAATCAACCATTTAATAGGAATGTTTTCTGCTAAATCAAATTTTAAAGCTTCTCTTTCCACTTTACCAACCCTTCTTCCAATTGTTTAATTTAGCAATTAGCACTGGAATCCTATGTGTAGGTACTAAGATATACAACTCCATTGTCTTCTGTGCAATTTTACTGGGGAGGTAGGAATATGGGATACAACCTGACTGATACATAAAAACTTTCAGTCCTGTGTGTGTTTCAACCACACAATTGTTCAATACTACTCACTCTCAGGTAAGCGTGGACACTACATTCAGATATAACTATATGACTCCTGAACACAGTCTCTATTTTGCTTACTCAAGAAATTGCATTTTAATAGTAGTAGAAAAGCATTGCTAGTTGTAGTCAATATATATATATTGGATACCTAAAGTAACACTGAAACTATTAATAAACAGAACACAGCAGATCTGTATCTATCACAATCACTCACAAGGCAGCTAAAGTTAAGGAAAACACTTTTGTAACTGAATGCAATGAGCATTTCACTCCTAGATACAAAAGTGACCGTGTGACTTGATAGGAAATGGCTTTCTGTTTCAGTAGTTTTCCCCAAATTGGGTCCTAGTGCAAAAAGGACCATGCATCCAAAACACCAGACACCGCAAAGAAGGAGCCCATTTTACAAGAGATATAAATATTTACCATGTTCAAAATGCGCTCTATAAAACACAGGTCCAATATAGACAAAGAGGATTCACCAGCAATTTTCTCACATTCTCAGGCTGCCTGAGCAGAAAGAGGGGAGACAGTCTCACAAGTTTCTGCTCTTGGCCTTTAAATCAGCCTTGACTGATGTAGTAATAGTACCCTCATCAGTACTACATCATGTTGGGTTTATAACTCAGCATACGGTTAGGTCAGGAGTTGTAATTCCAGTCTATTTAGAGTTCATGAGATTTGACCAGATTACTTTAGAGTTAGGGTTACATAATGTATCAACACTGGAGAAACAGTATAGAAATGCCACAATGAAAATAGTTTTCTTAGATGGCTTAGAAATATATGATTGTCAAATTGTCAGTATCTCTGTACTCCCACTCACGCATAACCGATAACCGAAGCCCTAAATCCATGTGGTATTAAACAATGCTATTTGCTGGTGTCTTTGTCAAATATATTTAAGAAAGAAGTAAGCAGAAGTAGAGAAAATTCTTCAGTGCAGTACTCTGCTTACTTACAGGAAATCCAACGTTAGCAAAAGCATTTTTTAAAAAAGCTGAAGCCACCACAAAATAAAAGAACCCCAACAGTCTCTTTTGGGAATTTCGGTTCTGCAAGCAGCACAAAACCCTCTTAAGTGCTCCATTAATTTTCAAGAATTGGTCTGAAGCTCTAATCAAAAACCACCACCTGTTCCTGTATCAACAAGATATCTAACAGAAACAGAAAAGTATTTTTCTTTAGATAGATGACTGAATTACCACAGTGTACAATTTGCACAAAAGACTATGGCATAAGTAAGACAGTCAGTCCTCCCATCTTCAACACCAATGTTACACATTCTCTCTCTAGGGCTGTAAAACACTGAAAGGACTTCACCTTGGCAGCTTGAGTTGTGCCTCTGGTGTGAAAAGGGTATGCAAGTAAGAAGCCATGTCAAGAACTCAAGTGACCATTGTTAAAGTGAGTTTATGGCTTTTAAATATTACACAAAAATAAGCCCAGTAACATGTCTGACTGAAGTTTGGAGATACATTCCATCGTGGTAATGGCAGCACTGCATTTCATTTTTTTTAAAAAATCCAAAAAATTGTATACATCCAAGTGACAAATATGTTTCTTCCTGAACCAGTGGTGTAGAAATCTCTGCAATAAGAATAAAAATAAGGGAAATACATTTTGTTGCATCTATTTTAGAAATTTTCAATCCAGGGGAGGGAAAATGGAAGCACTGCCTTGGTGGTACACCTTGAAAATGGTGCTTCAAAGCATTCCTTTTTCCCCCAAAGCGTAGGAGCCCATTGAGCTTTTCTCAATTTTTCGGTTTTAAAGAAACATTTTGCCTTAAATGTCTAGATGGAGGTCTCTGTTTTTTTAGGATAGAGATAACATGGCCTGTCCATGGTAGTCACTGATTAGCCAAGATATATTGTATATAGTTAAGGCTATATAGTAACTAATTACCAAAAAGGAAGAATTTTCCAGGTGCTACAATTTTTCAACCATTTGCCTATGCCTCCCTCCTCTCAAATTTTGTAGCCTAAAGTCCCCTGCAAGGCTCACCTTGCTATTTAGGAGTTATTGGCATTCCTCCAGCTGATGATATTGACAGCAATGCCGGATAACATTTTGGCAAAAGAAAAAAAAAAAGGGTAAGCTACTACCATCTTATAATACTTACTTTGGTTTCAAATTTAATGCTGGGAAATTCTAAATGAGATATTTCTGCCTTTTTATGCATGGATCCTTGCATATGGCTGGTGGTTGGGTATTATGCAATGTATACCAATTTTTGTGCAATCATGGGCAAAAGGATTGAGAGGAAAACCAAAAAGAAAGCTAAAATAAATAAGCATGCTTTTCACTATTATTCCCTGGGCCTCTCTTTTAGGTGACAAAAAGCGAACTTCTTATAAGATAGGCAGCTATATAAATGTTTTAAATAAACACATCTATCATCTATCTGAATGATTTTTTTTATGTATTTGCCCAAGGAAAACAGGAACCTACAGGCATAAATGCATGGATTAAAAGATACCTAAAAAGAATTCAGGTGAATTCCTCCCAATAGAGAAACAATTGGAAACAGGACAAAAATAATCATCCTGCAAATAGACCCCCAAATAAATAAAATAGTCTGTTTCTTAAAAAAAAAAACTAATGTTACAAATAAAGTCAGTAGTCCTTGGTATCCCTGAATTCAGGCATGCTCCACATTCTTTTGGTCGGCTCCATGCCCCTCTCCACGTCTTCTGAAATGGTCTTGATATCACTGCTGAAGGGGGAAATCCTGATGCGGGATCTGAATGTGGTGAGGGAGAGGCTGGTTTTGTTCTTGGTGTTCCATTGTCTTGCAAGTTTCTTGGCCTCCTCTTCCTCTTTGATCTTCTCGGTGGCATCGTGCAGAACAGAACGGAAAAGCCGAGGTATTTCTCCAGGCTCTGGTTCATATTCAGCAATAAGTTGCCGAAATCTAAGAAATAAATGAGCAAAAGATACTAGCCTTAGAAGGGCATATACAGTCCACCTTCACTTAAATCCTCAGAGCAGAGAGATATAGATGTTATCTTATATCAGGGGTGTCAAACTTGATTTCATTGAGGGCCACATCAGGGTTGTGTTTGACCTCGGGGGACCAGGGGGACATGGCCAGGAGGGGCGTAGCCAGCTCGACATCACTCATTGAGGCTCCATTTTCAGCAGCAATGGCCTGCCCGGACTCCATTTTTGGCTGCAAAGGCCTCCTGCAGCCCTCTGCTAGCAAAAATGGAGCTTGGGGAGGTCGCATGCACCCTGCCCGGGCTTCATTTTCACTGGCAGAGGCACTGCAGTCCTTTGTTGCTTCCAGGGTGGGCCCGCAGGCCAGATCTAAGCATCCCGTGGGCCGGATGTGGCCCGCGGGCCTTGAGTTTGACATCCCTGTCTTATGTCATTCTCTCCAGTGATGGGTTGCTACCGGTTCTCCCCGGTTCTTGAGAACCGGTAGTGGAAATTTTGAGTAGTTCAGAGAACCGATAAATGCCACCTCTGCCTGGCCCTGGCCCCAATCTATTCGCTGCCTCCTGAGTCCCAGCTGATCGGCTTGAAGGAAAAAATCAGGGGTCACTTGACAAAGAAGAGGGAAAAAAACAAGACACCTTAGCTTTAAATTGAGAAGCCAAGAAGCCTCCCAAATGATCGGCTAGAACCGATCCGCTCCTTGTAAACCACTCGGTGGTGATAGATTGGCAACTGAGGCCAAGCTGCCTGAAAGTGGTTTCCGATGCTCTTGGTGGTGGCAGAGCGGCAAAAAACTGTTTAAACTCTTGCCACAGTGCTTCAAAGGGCCACACTACAGCTGATCAGCAGTAAAAGGCAGTGTGATGGTAGACCAGTGCGCTCCAAAAACAAATGGGTAGACCAGTACGGCTCTGCAAGCAGTTAAAAGCCTGGTAGACCAGTACCTCTGCTAAATCCTAAAGAATTGTTTGTCACATGACCATCAAACCATGCCCACAAAATAAGCCATGCCCACAGAACCAGTAGTAAAAAAAATTAGAACCCACCCCTGATTCTCTCATATATCAGGATTTATACAACATCTACCACCATCCCTTTTGGAATGAAGGGCACATTTCTGTATTTCTGTATTTTTACACAGTGTATATTCTGTATGACGTTTTTATTTAAATTGACCTGTATCTGACTTGTACTGTTTTTAACTTATTACAGTACAGCAGTTATACTTACTTACTTACTTACTTATTTCTATTTCATAATTCTAAATCACCCATCTCCCTCCCTTCCTTAAACACACTGTTTCCTGGTGGTCAATATAAACGAAGGAAATAATAGCTCATCATATATTTCCATCATTTGAATTTCCCCTTCTATATAAACTATGGGTCCTTTTTAAAAAGAATCACTTGGCATTATAAATTATAAGCAGTTATGTTAATTTGGTTAAATTGGTAGCAGGCAGCAAGTTATCCTATCCAAATTCTGCCAAGCTAAACATTATAATAAATAAACTTCTTAATTAAACCCAGTAGACAACTGCAAACTTTTGCATGTAAAGACAGAATATGCACTTGAAGCAACTGATTGCATTTGTGATATATTTCTGCAAATTATTCCCAGCAAGAATATCTAAACAGGCTCAGTACTGAGTTCTTCATACATACAAACAGAATGAACAGTCAGTAATTCATTCTAGACATGTCATTTAGAAAGCCGTGAATCATTTTTGAATTATTCATAAACAGTTTTTAAAAACCGAAAACGATGGTTTACTCTGCTTCTTTTAGTCCAGTTCAGCTACAGGTGAAAATCAATCAAGTTTCAGTGCTAGATATTCTACCCAATTCCCTGCATCTGGTGTTCTCTAAATGTGATGGATTTCAGAATCCATAAACTCCAGCCAGAACAGTCTTTGGGAATACGTTATTGCTACTTCATGCTCATCCTATATACAATGCATGACAGATTCCAAGCAAATACCTAATAATGATTGGTCCACAATAGGATGGATGTATTTTGGAACAGATATCTTCCAGCTGCAGACGCTCCCCTGGACTGATATCATAACCATGCTTGGGGTAGCTAACCAGCCAGCCATAATCAACTCCTGTTTTGATCCTGCGATACTCATTTTCTTTCTCCCGCTGTTGTTTCTCAGCTTCTTTGATCTGCCAGTCAAGCTCCATCATCAGGGTTTCAGTCACCATTTCCATTGGGCTTCTTTGAGAAATACGACTAGAAGGTTCATTCCATCCAAACCAGGATGCCAGTGCCATGTTCTCCTTTTTTCCTTCCTTTATCTGCAAAGAGCAAGTGAAAATAAAATGTTTTTCATGTTTACAACAGATAGGGTGGGCAACTTATATGTCTATTCATAGCTATATAAAGAGAGGGGGGGCATTCACATACAATATATACATGCGCAGCAAGTCTCTGAATTCTTCTGTGTTCTCATAGTCCTCCTATTGACCTCCAATGGACATCGGAGGGAGGGAGGGAGGGAGGGAGGGAGGGAGGGAGGAAGGAAGGAAGGAAGGAAGGAAGGAAGGAAGGAAGGAAATAAGGAAATCTCTTTAAGGAACTGGAACAGAGCTACCTGGATATGCTTATCCAGAGTCAAATTAATATTTTTTCCTTAGCTCAGACATTATCTACAGAATTATATACTGAACTAGCAGCAGTTTTCTAATTGGCTTTTCATAAATCATTCCCAATCCAGTTGGAGATACCTTGATCCTCAATGATACAGCTGAAATTTCCCTAGTTTTTTTTTTAGGATGAATATTTAATTTGATATTTGATTGATATTTCAAAAAGTGGAAACTTTAAAGAAAATGGCCATCCTCACATCAAACATTGTTCCATACTCAACAATACCCTCCCACACAAGTAGCCTTTTCTGGCAATGGATGCACCGATTTTCATTCTCTATACATGAGGATGATTGCATAATGGGCTTTCCCCACCTCTGTTGCTCAGGATTTTTTATGCTACCCCACAAAACAAGAAGAAACTACTTGCAGCTAGTCTCACTTGGGAAGGAAGGACTTGAAAGATCAACCATTACCTCAACCGTTCCCTCCATTGTCTTAAGGAACTCAAGCGTCTATAAAGTTAAACAATGAAAATTGCTCAGCTACATGAGTTTCTTCTTGTCCAAAATATGAGGTTAAGGCAGATGAAAAGGAATAGGAAATATACTTTAAAGCTAAATGACTCTAAATAAAATTTTTAGAGACTGCAAATTAAATAATTTGTAGAAACAAGGGATAAGTATATACAATTCAGAAAGTTTCCAAGTGTGTCTGTTGGAAATAGCAAGCTTTTGGAGGGACAAAACGATTGTCAATTTACCATATCAGTTTTCAGCCGAGTCAAACAAATGGCATCTACTATCCATTCAGGAGCCAGAAAAACCTGCACGTTTTCAGCAGCATATAAGGGACTAATGAAAATTTCCTAGTTAATCAATATATAATCATCATAATGACAAAGCAATCATGCCAACACAGAACTTACCTAAAACATAATTATAAAGTCTTATAATGCTAATATAAACACCTCAAAATACAAGTATTTTTGAGAAAATGAAATATGGCAAATACAGATAGTCCTCAATTTACAATCGCAATTGAGCCCACAATTTATGTTGCTAAGTGAGAAATTTGTGAAGTGAGTTTTGCCCCATTTTATGACTTTTCTTACCATTATTGTTAAGTGAATTGCTGCAGTTGTTAAATTAGTAACACGGCTTTAAGTGAATTTGTCTTCCCCACTGACTGTGCTTGTCAGAAGATCGCAAAATATGATCACATGACCCTGGGACACTGCAACCGTCACAAATATGAACCAGCTGTCAGCAATCTGAATGTAAATCACATGACCATGAGGATGCTGCAACAGTCATGAGTGTGAAGAATCATAAGTCACTTTTTTCAGTGCCGTTGTAATTTTGAACGGTCACTAAGCAAAAGTTATAAGTCAGGGACTACCTGTAAAAATAAAGTCAAATGCAATTTTAGTGATAACAACAGTAAAAGTGTTATACATTATTAGAGCTTACTTCTGAGACATATCTACTTTAAAATAAGTCCCAGGAAATTCAATGGGAATTATACTCAGGCAGTTGCAAATTTACGGCTTTGCAGTCTAACAAAAGATATAAAAGGAAACCTATTTCAATTGGTGAAGAAGATAGAGAATTTCAAAACTCTGGCTGTCACACCAAAGTATTTGTTTCTTGGGAACAAAATAGTGTTAAGGACTCTTCTATCGCTCTGGATTCCAAATTCTCAGGTCTGGGATTTGTATCTTGCCAGTCATATGTGGTTTCTCCTGTTCCATTTTATCAATTCCTAAACTGCTCCAGGATCATGTGCTAATATTCAGTAATAACATTCTTTTCCCACAGGTCCAGGGTCTGCTTTTAGGATCAACAAACACCATTGCACACGGTCAAAAGCAGCAACCGATCTAACTGGGTGATCTTCATATGTCCATGTCTATTGTGTTCTGTCATCTTTGCTTTGATCTTCCATGTGGACATTTGCCTGCAATTTTAAAGTGGTAGATGGTACAATGGTGTGAGGTGCTGCTGATAGGGCATGCCCATAATCACTGTAGGTGGTTTTCCCAGATTTTCTGTTATTGGTGCAACACCCATATGCTGCTGGACTATATTGGTGCTGATGTGGTCAAGAAGGGAGATGCCTAATGATGCCAATACAACATTTGCATTTCCATAGTATGCAAAAGACATTCAGTACTTTAGGTAGTTGGTCTGCACTTAGCACCATACGGTGCTATTGGACAACCATCATTCTATACACTTTCTATTTTAAGTAAATTGACAGGCACCTATTACCAAACACTCCAGTAATTACATTCATCCTCATGCACATTTTCCTATTAATGCCACCGACATTTTACAGATGGAATCCTACATAACAGAAGGAGTTTGATTTCATTAGAACTTTGCCGTTGATCTTGACAGTGGGGTGCTCAGGCTGATCTCTAGATAATCAGTTTTCTTGATCTTAAGCCACAAACAAAATTGGCTAAGACTGTCATTCCATGTCTAGACAAAGCATGCAGTTCTTCCCTGGTGGATAGCTGTGAGCAAAACACCGAGCATAGAGCAAGGCCCAGGGGATACTATAATGCAGATCTTGCATGATAGTATCTATGACGAGAATGAACAGCAATGGTGATAACACCTTGGTGCAAGCTAACTTTCACAGTAAAGTTATCAGAAAGGCCAATTGTGCATCTTACTCTGGTTCTGATATTCTGATATTCTTTCACAAGTTCACCATGCATGATACAATGTTTTCCACATTTGTAATACTGATTAAAAGTATCTTTATACAACATAGATAATTTCCCAGGTGTCATATACCAAGGGTACATTATTTTGTACAAGTTATCTTTTAAATTGTAGCAGAGTGTGAACTTTAGTCTTTTAAACAACTCCTCTTCTCTTGCTCCATCTGTATGACCAACATTCTTAGCCCATTTCATCATATACTCTTTAACTTTCTCTTCTTCCACTTCAAATCTCAGCAAAAGTTTATATATTTTAGTAATCACATGTTCATTATCTGTACATAACTCATTTTCAAATTCCATCTTATTTGTATAACTTCAGTTATTCTTATCTGAATTACATCTTCTCTTAATTATGCTTATGAAAACAAATGAAAACCAAATCCATCTTCAATCAATTATTACCTTGACTTCATTTTAAGTTCCTCATATTTCTATATGAGCATTAGGGTAGTCATCATGTAGTGACTATTCACTCAGTGACTGTTCACTGAAGAGATTGGAGAGAAAGCAGGGGTGAAATGCTCCCGGTTCAGACTGGATCGCCCAATCTGGTATTGATTGCCCCGGGTGGTTCGGAGAACCGGTAGCAAAAATCCCTGCCCGTCCCCCATGCCCAGCTGAGTCAGGCGATCATCAGAGGCTTTTTTTTACTTTTAAAAGCATTTTTTCTACAACCTCTTCAGCCGAAGAGGCTGTAGAAAAAATGCTTTTAAAAGGTAAAAAAAAGATTGCGTCCCACAGCTGATCACCCCCCTTGTGCGCTGTTCTACTTACCACATGCCTCCTTTTGACATGCACTGCATGTGCGCGCCTCACATTTGGTGCGTGGTGCGCACTGCACAACCAACGAACCGGTAGTAAACCGGTTCAGATTTCACCACTGAGAGAAAATAAACTGTTTGCTCTTCTACACATCTAAAGTTATGCAGACAAAGTGGCAGCAGATACCTGGCACACTAAGATGAAACTGGACTGGGGGCAATAAACCAGAAAAAGTACTCCAGAAAAATGAGGGTGCTAATTAGAGAAATAAACAATGAAACAGCAACTTATAAACCATCATTGTGCAAGGCAATTCAGCCAGCAATTAGCAAATTATAAAAGGTATGAAAGAAACAATTCCAGCAGAACCAGAGAAACCCCATGCTCTTGGACTACATGTTGGACCAGCTCTAGATGCAAATCAGGTGAATGAATGGATGAATTACTGCAAAAGTGAAAGTGCATTCAGTGCAAGTTCTACTTCAATAAAACGTAGTAATGTCTGAAATTGTGTCCAGTGGCACAGTGACCTAGAAGTGCAAATGCTCGCCTCATGCTCAAGAGGCTGAGAGTTCAATCCTAGGCCATGACAGACATTTCTTTGTCGGGGTGCAAAGAGTAAATATCTGTTGCGAACTCTGCATAGGCATCAGGAAGGGCATCCAGCCGGTAAAGTGTCAGCTCCATTCAGTAGGTCCAACTCCACTCTGATACAAAGGATTACAGGGTCGTAAAAAGCAAAAAAAAATGTTTTAAACTGTGTATATTTATAATTCACTATAGATTCTAAACTGATTATTTAATTGGCATCTAGAGAAATTAGGGAAAGGAACTGCACTGAGTGTTTGTATGTTTTCTCTGAACAATTTACTAGAACTGTGCAACAATTAGCTCTTTCAGAAGGCCTGGTTGTAACTATTTGCAAATTGCTGATCAAAACAAGGACCTGTTTAATTTAGAAAGGAAAATTTTGTAATACTAGATATATTTCAAGATTATTGAGCAAGTTTGTTTCTTGAGAAATGATTACATGGAATAATTCTTCTTAATGGCAAATTATGAGGGATGAAAATAGAGCTATTACTCTAGGTCAACCTGTTAATTGTACCTTTAAGTGTTTTGACAATTTATAAAAACTTGCCAAACCTGGTGAATAACAACATATTCAATTAAAACATTTCTTATGTTCTTAATTTGAACCTAAAGTTTTAAAACTCTCAGAAAATCCTGTCATTTTAATTATATTAGGCAAAGATTTATCTGCAACTGACAAGTTAAATATAAGCCAATGCTGCTTTTGATTTTTCATTTGAGTAGTTTAATAGTCCATAATACTGAACTCTCTTCCCCTTACAGTGCATAAGTCCTTATATAAGGTATTTAAAGCAAGTTTCAGCAAAATATATTTTGCTTTGTGAGGCATAACCCATCCCCTTCCAGCAGTTTATCCAGATAACTCAGAGCAGTTCCAGATACCAAATTCCTCCCATTGCACAGGCAGTTGAAATATTCTTCTTTCCCTTATCAATTTTATTCTGTGAACAGATGAGCTCTCTTACTAGATCTAGTCCAGTATAATATGCTTTTAACTGCTCTTGGAAGTATCGTTTGCCTCCCACATTGATTACCAAGAAAGAATCATTTTCAATTATCTTGATAAGACTTCGAAGTTGTCCTGTAACATCCCAATCTATGCTCTCAGAAGGCACTTCATAATCCAAGGGGTCCAAGCTGACATAGGTTTGATTGGATTTCTTTTAGCACTGAGTCACCAATACTAGTTTTTCTTTTTGTCTTCTTGCAGAGTGCTGTTGCTTTGCCCAGTTGCTATTTCTTGGTGGAACATCAAGAGCACCTTCTGACTCTCTTTCAATTCTTTGTACAAGTCCACAAAGAACTTGAGATGCATACGTTTTCAAAACATTCCAATAGATATGAATGTAATATATAATACTGTTCGTAACCAGTTACTTGGATTTCTCACTGATATCTATCCCACCACAATTTACTTTCAAGTATTATTTTCAGAATATAGCTACTACAGATTTGGTATCTATGACTGTTTAAAAAACCTATCAGCTTTAATAACCAAGAGAAGTTTTTGAAAGAATAAATTGGAAATTGTTTAAGGCAGCGCCCGCAATCTTTTGGGCACCAGAGACTGGTTCCATGGAGAGGGTTTTTTCCAAGGACCAGGGGGGGCGCGTGATTTTGGGGGCTGCCTGCATCCAGTGGCTGGGGCTTTGCTTGTTTGCATGGCCTGGTTTCCTGCATGCCATGGACTGGTGACGGTTATTGGACCAGGGGTTGGGGACCCCTGTATTAAGTATCACACGGGATTTTGAATCAGCTGAATGACAGCTCAAGTCAATGCCATATAATTCTTGATATTACAGATAAAAATAATTGTGAATCTACAGCAGAATAGACTGAAACATCCCAACTTTAATGAGATTAAACCTCTTAAGATCTATAACCAATCTGAAATAAAAGCTTACATAACAGTCTAAACAGGACATTACTTGTTTTTCTATAGGCTGTTTTGCTTTTGGATGTATTTATTGATATAATACTAAATCCACTCATCACCCAAATCTGTGAGAGACAATAAATTGAGAAGAAGTCAAAATATGTATTCCACATCCATTGTGGTCAAGTCATAGGTTAGCCATAAATTTAACCTATCCATATAAACTCAGCAATCCTTCTTTCTTTAAGGAGCAAAGTAAGCAATGCACATAAGTCCAAGAAACAATGCTGCCTGTATGTTAAGTGCGTACTTTATATTTCCTATCATCTGTTTTATACCTAAGTTTCCAAATGGATTACATTTTCCAGGAATAAAGATTTATGTGCTTATCTGGAAAGCTATAGGTAAAAGCAACCAAAAAGAGTTTAAATACCACCACCAAAAGCACAATTTTCCAACTTTCTTTGCCTAGCAAGCAAGCTAATACAGGATACTGTTACTTGCATTTGTCATCATAAAGCCAATACATAACAATATTTTTTTAGAATGGGATAGAACATAATGGTTCTATTCCCTCTTCCCCATTCATTTCTATGAGGTGTAAAAGGACTTTCTGTCAAGTTATGGCATAAGGTTTGCCTCACTGCCAGTGGAAAGCTGCTTTATTTATACAAATTCGTTCTCGTCCCCATAAGTATTGATTTTGTTACACAGTTAAGAGTTTTAAAACATGCCACATTCATTTTTTAAGTCTGCATCTAAAATATATATTCTTCAGTTGCACTTGTGTCCATTTAAAAATTAGAAGTGTTATTATTTAAAAATGCCTAGTATTTGAGACATCTGACCATACATTCTTTCATACACATTTCAAGTTCATGTTGTCTGTCAGACAGCCTTTCAGGTGCAGTACAACTATTTGGAGTCAGGTCTCCAGAGCACTGTAAGAATGCAACTGCAAAGAATGGAAAGAAATATTCATTGATGGAAGGAAACTTACTAGGTCAGTGTTTCTCAACCTTGGTAGCTTGAAAATGGGTGGACTTCAATTCCCACAACCCCCTAGCCAGCAGTGCTGGCTGGGGGATTCTGGGAGTTGAAGTCCACCCATCTTCAAGCTTCCAAGGTTGAGAAACACTGCACTAAGTAGATAGTATTTGCTTAAACAATATTTCTTTAGTTTCTGCATTTAGGCCAGTCTTCTCCAACAGGGTGCCTTCCAGATAGGCTAGATTCAGGTGAAAACAAATTGAATTCTAACCCAATGCAATTGGAGGGCACAAGAGTCTAACAAGCTAAACTAGGTTACTGTGGAGCATAGAAAAAGCAACAAACTTAGAAGTGCAATCACCTTCTGAGGATACATGGATTTATCCATAATATTTAAATTTTCTTTCACTAAAAATCAACTGAATTTATAAAGTCCTTAATCTGGAGTTGGTTTATGAAATGTATCTCACATTCTACAATTTGAGGTTTAGTACTTACTAAATCATTCTTTAGGGATAAAAAATAGTATTGGTTCTTTATGGTCTTCCAATTTATCACAAAAATATCCTTTATTTTAACTTATTGTATTGAAAACATTCTACTACATATTATTGCATTTTATATTCTAGAAACCTACCATAGGATCATCCCAATCTGTCATCCATTTAAACCAAATGGTTTTTAAAATAGAATATTCTCAGTGACAGCTTTTTAAAAAATCACTGATTTGGTTTTTCACTAAATATAATAGCTATTAAAATTCAACACTTTCTCAATGCAAATGACATTCTGAAGTCATGTGATAAAGAGAGAACTATTTTGCTCGATAATATGATAAAACATTCCTAGTTTGCAACCTTCTCAAGAAAGCATTGACTAAACCAGGCAAGTTCCTATAAATAGCTTTGCAATAATGCTGCTAAACCTTAATACTTATGGGGGTGGGAGTGGGGGTGGAGAACAGCTATGATTAAAATAATGCTGAAAATCCCCATTTCAAAACAAATTGCAAAAAACAAATTCTCTACAGCTTAAATGAAATTGAAGTTAATTCACTATCTAATTTTTAATCTTCTTAACAGATTCCAGATGTTAATAATTGCTGTATGAAAACAATGTATAAATTCAAAATACAAATATGAAACAATTAGAGAAATCTGATGCAATATTCCACTTGGTCTTTAAGTTTAATATAGGAATGGTGACTTTGAGATTCATTCAAATAAGCTTAAATAATTTTTCTATCTGAATACTTCTCAACTCTTCAAGCCCCAATAGCAAAGATGATTAAGAGGTAAGATGAGCAGAAGGTGGTCCTTTGCACACATGTAGGCTAATTGTGTATAGATTAATGCCTATGTTAAGAGTATTTTCTCCCAACAAATGGCTACTACTTTAAAGTGAGTAAAAAGCAAATTGTATCTTTCAAGTCAATGTCTTCATTATTTCATGGACACAATTGTCATTATCATGACAGCAGCATAAAAGTGTTTTGGCACTGCCTTCCTTCCAGACTTTTCCCCCAAGTTCTCAGTCTATTGAACACCCCCTTTACTCCTTGGAAGCCTCTTCTCCAGGTATTAAACAAAGTAAAGTTTGCTTAGCTTTCAAGAATAAAGTTGGGTAGGTGCTTCCACCTACTGAAACCTCTTAAAGGACAATGGTATAAAATAAATGGAGGAAGGAAAGATGGGATCAGTCGTTACTCATAAAGTGCTGAGCAACCAGCGATGTTAGTATTATGTGGACTCCTTGGTGCTCTCTGAGCTGTTATTTGCAGACATTTTGTTACCCAACAAGGTAATATCATCAGACCAAGTAATACACAGTTCAATCCTGAACCCATAGTTCAAACTATATATTCCCTTCTATTGGAGGTGTTAATATCAGTTATAAACCTTAGTATAGGATGTACATTTCCTTCCTTTTCCTGCACTTTTTGTTATGCAAAGTCCTCTGTTTGGACAGGAATCCATGCACATAAGATTATTTCCATTTACTTAAAGGCTAGGAAGTTTCTGCATAATGCACATTTTGGTACTATTTTCATGACAGTCTCCCAATTGCAGGATTCGTTTCCTTCCACTTATTAGCTACATCCCTGAACCTGGTCTTCATTAACTTTTCACTTACTAAGAGTTGAACTAAATTCTGACGATGAACAAAATCACCACCTCCACGGTCAATGTTCCAACTTCTCCCACTAGAATTATTGCTGCCTGAGAATTCTGCCAGTTTTTCTAACCTGTTCAAAGCATTCCAGATTCTGGAGAAATCTACATAAAGCTTTAAGAAAAGAATAGTCTATGGAAGCTAGACAGATTATCTCTACATACAATCAAATTAAGAAATTACTTCATGTCTGTAAATTAAAAAAAAAAGATGTGCATTTAATATCTTTAAGAAGCAATAGAAACTTAAGCTTTCTTCCCTAACAATACTTAAAACTAAAGCAAAGGAAGGAGGTAGGTGAGAAATAAAATGAAATAGAGGCACGTGCAACAGGAATGAAAGCAAATACTGGCATGTGCAACCAGCCTCGAATGGGAAAAGAGAAAGTAACTGTTGTTACCCAGGACACTAAGTATACATCGCAAAATTTCAGAATTGTCTCTACTCCTCCTGTTATCTCACACACCTCACATTTGTCCATTTGGAATAAACGACTTCATTGCAGAATAGTGATGTTCACCTCCAGTTGGAATTAAGCGCCACCGATCTTCAGTGGGTCTCACTTCCAAGCAGCATTTTATATATGCGTGTGTATATCTCTACACATACACGCAGAGAAAGAGCATTTATTTACAACCTGCATGTTCGCACCGTCACCTGCGCTTTACTTCATTAGGAGGACTAGTCAGGCAGAAGCAGAAAACTAACCCTTGCGTCTCTTCCCGTCTTTTCCTCAAACTTTCTGCAAGTTGTCAACTTACCGGATGGCTTGTTCGCTCTGAGAAACAAATCCAAGCACAACTCTAAAAAAAAAAAAAAAAAGTCCCTCGGCCAAGGCGAGAGGGATGCTCCCAGACTGCGCGCCCGCCCAAGTGTCGATAACCCAATTCACCGCGAGGTTGCGCGCAGCAACTGCTTCTCCACCCCCAGTCCCTGCCTTTGCTTAAATAATCAGGGCGGGCTGAATTATTTTCTCCGAAGAACACCCCGCCTTCCTGGCTCCTGATTGGCTGTTGCTATAGTGACCATCCTAAGCTTCTTTGGCCTGTGGCAGGAGGGAGAGCTGGCTGTAGTAGGTCTAGATGAGAGGGAAAAGTCGGGGTAGGAGGGCGGAGGGGAGGGGTGTGGAATGGTGAATTATAGCGCTGTTCACCTATCCATGAACGGGCAGAAAATTAAATTGACTTGGAATACTCTCTGTCCATTGCTTATTCCTATTCTGTTTTTATTTGCCAGGGAATTCTTCTAAGAATCCTTCTAAGATAATGGGTGACAAAACCTATGAGATTGTACAAGCCTGGAGGCAGGCTGTCCTTGGATGGTTTTGGAATAAGAGGGAAAGTACTTCTGTAAACACTGGCCCAGCTAAGGGCAATTTAAGCCTGTTGAGCCCCTTTCCCTGTTTGTATCAAATCAAGGCACAAACATGGCTGTAGTAAATCTTTTTATCTGCCCAAATTAAAATCAGTGGAACAAATAACTCATGACCGAATAAGATTACATGACAGTTCCACACAGTCTTTTTAATTTGTATAGTTTTCATATTTAATACATCTGTATAAAATTTTCTGTAACTCATTTGCATTCTCAGCTGACATGGCATTGTCTACATATAAAACATACATTCACATTCTGGTATATTTTTCCATAACTGCATTAAACAACGAAGGGAACATGGTACATTCTTATTTTATTCTTTATTTAGTATTGAATCATTGATGAAGCATTCTACTTATTTTCAGACCGGTTATGGTGCATCCATGCATGCATGCATCCATTCATATTTATATGGCTTCCTATTTCACAAAAAAGTGAGTGGCATACAACTTTTTAAAAAAATAATATATGATTTATATTTATAATATAAGTACAATTAAGTAAAAATATTAAAATTAATATTAAAAAACAAGGAGAGGACAACAAATATTAACACAGTAGAACCACCTCAACAATTCACCATTCCCTTGAGATCCCCAGGCCTGATGACTTAATCAAAATTTGAGGGACTTGCGGATAGTTACTAGGGATGGAGCCAATCTCACCTTTGGTGGGGAGAGGGAGAATGATATTCCATAAGGCAGATACTATGGGATAAAAGGACTACTTCTTGGGTCCCACTAGATGTACAGAAGCTACTTAGCAGATGGAACAATATACCTTTCCTGCTAAACCTGATAGACAGATGTAACTGGGAAGAGATGGTCCCTCAAATAATTCAGTTCTATGAAGGACTTTACTCAGCACCTTGAATTGGATCTGGAGACAAAACAATTTATGACGTAATATAAATGTAATAAAACATTTCCTATGCTGATGTTTGACTGTGCTATACAATTCAACATAGGCTCTTTTCAAGGCAGCTAAGTCTCCAAATGTAGTTCCAGCTTTTCCTGTGAAGGCAGTACATTAGAAGCTCTGTCAACGTTAAAAGCATTGGTAAGGAAATATCTCTGAAAAGATGATCCAGCGAGTCCAAAATTGTCTAGTACATTACTAAAATTCACATATCTGTAACCTTCAACTGGGCAAAATGGTGCATCACAGAACAAAATATTTTGAACCAAGGTGATGAGCTAATTCACAGAATGTGTCCAAAATCCAGGACCCATAACTCCCATGAAATTGAAATTTAGCCATTTTAAAAAAATATTTTATGACACAAAAACTATCCTAAAACATTTTATGACACTCTTCTTAAAAATCTCCAGTCATGGAGCACCCATAGCTTCTGAAGACAAGCAGTTCCACCAATTAATTGTTCTCACCGTTAGAAAATTTCTCCTTAGTTCTAGGTTGGATTTCTCTTTGATAAGTTTCCATCCGTTACTTCTTGTCTTGCCCTCAGGTGCCTTTGAAAATAGATTGCCCTGCTGTTCTTTGTGACAGCCTCTCAAATATTGAAAGACTGCTATCATGCCAACCTTATCTTCATTAGATTAGACATACTCAGTTCCTGAAACTGTTTGTCATACATTTTAGCCTCCAGACACCTAAGCATATTTGTTGCTTTTCTCTGCACTCTTTCCAAAGTATACTGTTCAAAATGGACTACTTTCAAGGCAGATTCATCACTTAAAATCTATCTGAACTTTTAAGAATTCCAGTTTTTCTAGTATGTTAGAAGCTCTCCCATTTGTTGAAGGCATTGAGGAATCTGGTCTGGAAAGATTTCTATCATCTACTATTTCTGTAGCAACATCACAACACATATTTTGTCATTTGCCTCTTCTTCTGGATGGCCCTGCAATGGCATTGTTTATGTACAAATAGAGAACCCAGATCAGCTGATTTCAATAAAAATACAGTCCTTGGACATTGTACGTCTCTGGTTGTTAAGTTGTTGTTAAGTGACCTGGCAGTTTCCCTCCATGTGCAAAAGGAAACTCCTGTGCTAGGCAGGAGAAAAAAAGCTTGGATATCCGCAATTTCTGCTTCATTTCTCCAACCCAGCACAGGAGTTCTGTTCCTGCAGGAGAACAGAACTCCTCTGCTGGGATGGAGTATGGAAGTGAGGACCTTGAAGATCCATTCCTCATTTCTGCAGTCCAATGAAGGATTTCTGCATGAAAGTGAGATGAAATCCTTTGGCAGGCAGTAGCAGCTTGCAACCTTCCCTGCCAGCTTCCCCAATGACTTTGTAAGGAATCTGGCAAAGAAGATTGTGTTGGGAAACACCAAACTAGTCAGAAAGAGGCAGAATTAGCCTCAAGTCCTTGCCCAGTTGCAAGAGGTGCAGAACCTACTCCCCCTTAGGCTCCATAGAGCATTAGCTATCTGTTCCTAGGCTGGCAGTCTAGGCAGTATAATAGAATATAATAAAGTAGTACATTTGAACTGTACACATGTGGATCTGGTTGCTTGTGCCTGACAGTTTGCAAATGGTGATCACGTGATCACAAGGTGCTTGTCAACCAGTCATAAGTGCAGACAAGTGGCTAAGGACCATCATGTGACTGGGAAGGGGAGGGATTTGCAATGTTTTATGATGGTCAGGAGTGCTTTATGGACCATAAAGCACCTTTCTGAGCCATCATAAATTTAAACAAGTCATTAAATGACCAGTCATAAGTGGAGAACTGCTTGTACAATACGACTGTAAAATAATAAAACTGGGAAATATATAAATTAAAAATACTGAGTTGAATTTCCAATTAATCCTGTTCAGTCATGATTTATTTGCTCTTCTGATTTCAATATGGCTCTGCTGCAAGCATTATTATACTACCCATTATGTGCTTTATTTGATTTCAGTTTAGTCTTATTCATTGTGATTTTTGGTTTAATGTTATGTAAAACAAACATATGGCTTGTTCAATAAATCATGGATAAATATAGTACTTAAATCTAAAATATGTGTGAATATAAACCAATGTAATCTGAAGTAGCAGTCATTAAAAAACAGAAGTGTAAACTGCATATTAACCATCTATGGAAATAAACATTACTTAACTTGGTATAAAAATCATTAGAGAGAGACCAAGCTGAATCTCTGCCTGGATATTTATACAGCTGCAGAAGCACCTCTGAGCTGGTGTTGTTTCTTGTGTACAATTACAGTCCAAGAGGAAGATGAATAGAATCTAGCAAATTTCTAGGAGACAAAAAGTTCTTAAGGCAATGAATTCCCAATCACTATAATACCGGGAGTCATAGTTCTAGCTCATTTGAACTGTACTGAGTTGGGCAATAAATCTGTAAAACTTATGACTATTACTTTAACTTTAGAAACATAGAGGTAATGTGTTTGATTTTTGGATTAAATTAAATCAGAAGAGTTTATTATCTAAAGAGGCCAGGTTGGGAAAAGTTAAGAGTTTATCCAGGTCTAGCTTACAGTGCTTCCAATAAAAAGCATTGTTCCACATGTGCTCCTTAATTATTTTTTATAGTAAAAAAAAGTAAAATGGAAGAACTGATGAGATAATTTCTAATGTCTTCTTCACCCTTCAATTCTCAGTTTGGGATAGGGAGAATTACACTGTATTAACTTTGTCTTGGAGTAACAAATGGTTGAAATAAAATGTAAGACAAAAGTCCACAATTTCATATATACACATCTGACTGTCAAATGTTGCTGGGCACAACAATTTTAAAAGTGTGATTGAAGTGCTTCAGCCAAAGCAAATGCCAATTAAGTGCAGCCTAATAAAACAAAGGATATTAAGATATTTGCATATCTCTATTGTTTTCCATTTGTCTCTACTCATTTGTTTTTAGTTTATCTCTTCTCCTATTAAAATCAATTAATTTAGGGTAGCCAAATAGCGAAGCTGAGTTACTTTTTAGATCAGAGAAGTTCAGATTTTTTAGGCACTGAATCTTTTTTTCCTCAGTTGGTGGTTCCACATTCAACCCTTGGATTTGAAATGGGTTTTTAAAAACACAATACTTATAAAGATAGTAAAAGTGCCAGAGCATGGGAAGTTTCTGGAAACATATAGCTGGAAATATCAGGATGAAAAAATGGAGCACATATGTCTAATTATTTTAAAAAATAAGAGATTTAGCAAGAACAGTTTTCATTTTATATAACTGAAATTGTCTGTCAAGGCAAAAGTAAAAATGGATTTTAACATTTTTATTAAATGATTCTACTAACTAGACTAACCAAGGAGTTAAGACTAATGAGGAGTTTTCAGCTCCCCATTAATCATGGAAGATTAAGTGTCTGTCGTCATAAATCTCAGCTTTAGTCTGACAGATTATCTCCACTGTCCTGTATGTCTCAAATTATATAGTAATTAGTATATAATCTGTGTAGCATAAGCTTCCTAGGTTTTTAATTAAAAGTGAACTGAACAGATGACTCGGTCTCCATTGGTTGCCATCCAGAAATAACTTATTAACTCTGATCAACTCAGAAAAATAATTTCTTATGTTCCAAATAATAATTTGGAACATAACAAATGCCAGGAATATTAAGCATCTGAGCAACATTTA